CAAATGTTTAAGACAAAAGACAAAAAAAAAAAAAAAAAAAACCTAAATCGAAAGAACTCAAAGTCTATCGCGTTCATTCATTTGACAATTTGTCATTGTAGTTAATGTTGAGTTATTATCATAACATACATGATCTGGTTAATCGATTACAATTAATTCCGTAACAGAAAATTTATGCAGAACCACAGAGTTAAACGTTCGAAACTTATTGGGAGTAATATTCTTTTGAATTAGCAATCTTATTTTGCTCGTACTGCATTTTTGTTGAGTTGCCTTTGTGGCTGTGCTCTTTGGTCTGCGACCATTAATGCTTATGCATTTTGGGGTGTCCCAAAATACCAAATTCATAGTATAAGAAAGGAAAGCGGACTGGTCCGTTTCACGTGAAAGATAATTAAATGGAAGTACAATATGGAACTTTAGGCCAATAATTGAAAAGCCCTGCTGGATTTAGGGTGCTGCCCCCTTCCGAGTAACTCAAATTTCATTTTGTGCTCAGATTTTAGCATATTTTATAGAATTTCTTTTGGTCCTTATATTTATGATGAATTGCAGGATTAAGTTCTATATTGGAAGTCAGGACCATCTCATAAAATAATTAAATGATTAAATCGATCTAATTTAATTACTACGCATTCTTCAAACTACAATTTCAGCTAAACCACGTGTCTAGAATTAAAGTGCGTGTCTTCAAATGAGTTAAAGACCCTAACATGTGAAAGGATAAATGAATAATGGGCTGTCCAAAATCCGCCACATCTGATTATTAGATATCTAATTAAGTTGATCATTTATTATTTTTTTTTCTTTTTCAAGTGTATGTTTAATTGAGTTAGATCGATGCTTTGACTCACGTGCTCGTAAATAAATGACTATTTTATCATTAGGTGCACCAATAGAATGCGTAAAAATAAAAAATCAGTTTCGATATAATTATATTATTTATCAATCAAACTGTTTTATTATAACAAATAGAAAAATAGAACTATCATTTTGAGGAACAAAATAAAATATGTTTCGGCTTTCCAGGTTAGATATGCCTACAAATAGAACTATCACGGCATCTTTCACATTTTAATGCAATGGCGTTGAGCAGAAACAAAGAAAGTGAAAAATCCTCAATAAATAAACAAATCTAATTTTTTTCCACCACATGTACAAGTAATAGATGATTCCATGATATGATTACTAATTGAACTATTCTTATAATTTGACCATACTTTTAGGCTACTGAATTCCTCAACTCTAGACATGCCTCCTCTTTAACTTCATAGTTGACCGGGAATGGACAAGCAGATATCTCCATTCAGACCAAAGCCAAATAATTCACCACAAGATGTCAAGAAGCATCCTGTGTGAACGAGAATGATCTGGAATCCCCTCTCCAAATTATCTCCTTTTCTTCCAATTTGTTTTTTATATTAAATATCTGAATGTACATCATTTTTGTATATTATCTAACAAGATGAAAATGAACTTCGTTAAGAAAAGGGAAAAGATTCAACCGCGTGGTTGATAATAACCCCAAAGTTCAAGGTGTAATGTTTCTATCAAAAGTTTCAACTGACGTGCAACAATTTTCCTTTGATGTATACAATATCAGGCGTACCATGATCGGCTTTTTTTTTTTAATTTTTTTTTTCAATTTTTTGTCATCTTTGCGTAAGATTAAGACATTTGAACAATATAGATATTTAACACAATGAAGAGCAATATCAAATTAATAAATGATTCAAAATTCTAAATGTTTAGAAGTAACACAAAAACCCTAATTCCGTAAAGGAAGTTTAATTACTCTCTCTCACCAAACAAAATAGTTCATTTTATTGTAAAATAAAATAATATAACGAAACAGATTTATTTTAATGATGAAACGGAGAGTAACATGTAAGATCTTTGGATTTCTCTGTTTATCATTGTTTGTCTCTTAAGAGCACAGTAATTAACAAGCTACTAGCTTGGCCACTGACGATTCTGTTATGTAAGCAATCTGCAATCTTATCAACGCCAAAGGTAGGCAAGAAATTAAAGCAACAATTTAATCATTTTAACAATAATAATAAATTACAAAGTCAAAGAAAAATAAAAAAAAAAAGGGAAGAAAACCAGTGACATCAACATTGAAGCACCTCTACCTGCTTCCCACTTGGCACACCGGATGACAATTATGATGCTGTGGAAAATAGTAAAAAAAAAAATTGCGTGGATAAAAAGAAAATCTCACTAAATCGCAGCTTTCAATTGCCCTGCTCTTCCAGCGATTTCCAGAAATAATCAAATATAAGTGAATAACTATTTACTTTTATACTCCACAGTCTACCACAGTCCATGACCAAATGATTGTGGTGGGAGCATAAAGAATTCCTTAAACTTTAATTATAAGATAAGCATTATTATAGGCAGAAAATAATCTTAAAATCCTTTTTTTCATTCATTTATTTCAATCATCTAGATTAGTAGACAATAGTGGACACTGGACGCCTTATTATATGAAATGAAAAAAAATAAAAGAATGAAAATGAAAATAAAAAAGTCTACCACACAGTCCACACTCCATAATGATGCGTACTCACTCTGTGAACTGCTATCAAACCCTGCGAATTTTATTATCATCTTTTCAGTGATGCGTCTGTTATGCATGGTAGTCTGTGATTCAACAAACATTGTCCCTCTGTCTGATCACTTTAGTACTTTTGTCCTTCAAAATCAATAATGGTTTTAATTATTTATGGCCATCCTTTCCATAATACCATACTTAACTGCTAGTAATTATTAAACCCCGCTCCTACATTTATTTTGCCTCAACTGTTAATTGGTACTCCAGTAAGTATGTGAGTAAAATAATAGCAGCCGTGATGAATGTCATCATCTGGCAAGAATGAGCAAAATATAGTTGTAAATAATTTTGTAATTATTTCTTCAAGAAATTTTAATCGAATATGTTGGGAGATGGTTGAGGATGGTTGTACATCTTTTTTGATCAGTCATTCGCAAATAATAATTGACATAATGGGTAAAGATCCAATGTGTAGGTGGGATCTCTCTATCCAAATTATCTACAATGTGATTTCTAAACTTCTTACTTTTCTTTTCGTAGTTCCGAAATTTAACTAAGTATATACAATGTTAATTTAAATCATATTAAATATAAATTAGCCCATTCTCTCTAAAGCAACTACTAATACTACTTTTGATGGGCGTCAGATTTTCTGGTTGGGGATCTCTGGTTGGGGATCTCGGATCCTCCTTTTAGGAGGTTTTATTTTGTTGTTTTTTTAAGTGTCTCTCAACAGTTTTGATGAAAAAAAACGTAAATCTAAGGGATATCGAAAAAGAAATCAAGATATAAGGAACAACATAAAATCAAAAGTTATAAGGATTCAGATCTAGAACATCTAAATTAGTTTAGTAATTTTGCTAATATATTCAATTTTTATTCGGATTAGATATCGACAGAACTTTATCTTATCATAAATTCTCTTTGTATTATCATACTTTTGCCTATCTGTTTAGATATTATTGCTTTAGTTGGTAGAGATATTGCCTCAATATGATCAATTTTAGCCTTCTCAACAACTACACACGGATTTGACAAGTTTATTCTATTATGGGTTGAAAAATCGTGTATGACAAATTGTAATAGATCAGCTATCGAATTGTATAACTAAATCCATGTATTGTACTATTCAATTATATGACTGATTCGATTTCTTCTAATTTTAAATACAATCATCACTTTTGAAAAAAGAAAAAACAATTCATACGTCCTCCCCTACCCTAATATGGCTTAAAGTAATTAATGCGAGTCATTAGCTAGGGGAAAAGAAATTCAAGTGGGACGCCACCATTTTATCCCGAGCCGGACGTCTCCCCCACCGGTCACCACCAGCATATTCAACACACTTAAAAGACGTTTGGAGCTCTATAATGATTTTACACTTGTTTCTCACCAGCTATTACTGTTTACAGTATTATTTTAAAAATTGTATATATAAAAAAATTGAATTCTGAAAAATACAAATACTTTAAATACTTTTAAATAACATAAGAAAGAATGCTTTAAAAGATAGAAATGTTACATAAATAACAGGAAACAATCGATTCAAACAGTGATTTAATGTGATAACTTTCTGCAATTTTTCACTAAATATATTATTGTGCCCATTTTACATTTCCATTGATTTGGTTTCTTTCTGCTGCCATTATTTATTTTACGCAATATAAATATATAAACTAGCCATTACGACTAATATAAAGTGACAGCACCATTATAATATATAATAATTTAACATCGTACGAAACAATCAGGTCATTAAAATGTACTTCTCAACTATTTTTATATATAAAAAAATCTCCAAGTTGCGAAATTCCACGATCATGGACACGTTTTCCTCGTTTTTTTAATCGAATTCTTTATTCTGTTAAAAAAAAAATATGTAATTACCTACGATTCTCTGCCATTTCATAAAGTACCAACTAGTCTAACACCCATCGAACACTAATTAACCACATACAAAATTAGTTAACGTCCTAACAGCGTACTTAAAACTCAATTGATCTTTTTCCACGTAAATAATTTTACCCAAAAAAGTAACGCATCATAGTTCGTAAGAGTAGTGCGAGATTGATGTTTCACCTTTCTCGATCGTTCTTCTTTGTCGTTTCGTTCTAGCGTACCTCTCTCTCATCAAATTCCTGCACATTAAACTAATGGCCAAAAATTATGTAATCAAACCCAAAAATTAAAAAAAAAAAAAATTCCCTTTTAATATAAACACGAATATCACGTTTTGCAACTGAATGATTGGAGGGAGTTTGGTACCACCACCCTTCCCAAACTCTTAAGACAAGAAACCATTATTTTTCTCATATCTTTGCATGGCTATAAATAGGGTATCCACTCAGAGCTAGCAAACCCACACCCGAACCTGATCATAACCAACAAATCAAACTCTTTCCCTCTTACTTAGTTAATTCCTTTTTGTATACGCTCCGCGATCATGGAAATGTTTGCTGCCAATTTCTTGGCCGGAGGTCCGGCGGCATTCGTCCGCCGCTCGGATTTCGGCAAAGACTTTGTCTTTGGTTCAGCTACTGCTGCTTTCCAGGTTCACTTTTTTTCAATTCCTTATCCCGTTCTATCATGGATGTATATTATTGGACGGCATTGTTGATTGTTCTTGATTAATAAGAATTTCATATGGGCATACGTATTTTGTATAATGGATTGTGCTGACTTTTCTTTTTTCCCCTCTCTTTTGTTACCAGATTGAAGGCGCTCTAGAAAAAGGGTCAAGAGGAGATTCCATTTGGGATAAGTTTGCCAAAGACAATGGTACCGTATCTCTCTCTCTCTCACACACACACACACACTGCCAAACACAGAGACACGACTACATGATTTTGTATATTTTATTTTTTGGGGGTAACATGATACTGTTCTTTTCCAAATGCGAAAAGTGATTACAATCATTGAATTTTTCTATGGGGGTTAACACGAATACACGAATTCTCCAGACTCATAACTTTACAAGTGTCCGGCGCTGTTGAGTATATTCGCATTATTTCATTTTGGGTCCTAAAGACTTCCACCAAAGATACTAAGTTTAGAATTAAAAGAATACATAAACTACAAATGTTACAATTTTGTGTTACTCGACCACACAGTATATCAGCAGTCAGCTCCACTATTGATGCTGTACAATCTTCAAACTATAGATTTAATAACCAAATTCCATATGTATACTATTAATTAATTAATTAGAATCGGAATTGCATGATTTCGGAGCAATTAATTAAATGGATCAAATTGTTTACCGAATTTTATTGCAAATGTGCAGACTTATTTAAACCATACCACGAAGATGCTGTAAATCACTACGAGAAGTTCGAGGTATACAATAGTTTTCTACCTAACCCGACTTGATATTAAAATCGTCAATTCGACACCGTTGACTGATCTGTGTTTCCATAATAAAATTTCAGGAGGATGTGAAACTGATGAAGGAGATCGGGTTTGACGCTTACAGATTTTCCATCTCATGGCCCAGAATTCTTCCAAGTATAATATTATGCTCTTCTATTGGAATATTCTGTTACCACATTTCCATCGCTTTCTCTAACACTAGATAATATTTTTGATTACTTTCAGCTGGAAAATTAGAGTCGAAAAACAAAGAAGGGATTGACTACTACAAGAAGCTGATTAAAACCCTCAAAGACAACGGTAATTAAATTACTCTTCTCCCCCACCCTCTCTTTAATTGGGTTACATTTGATTTATGCTTACATTTTGTTAGAACAATTTTAATTAATCGTAATAATATGATTGCAAACAGGCATTGAGCCATATGTGACACTTTTCCATTGGGATCTTCCTCACGCTTTGCAAGAGGAATACAATGGCTTTTTGGATCGTAGAGTTGCGTAAGTATCTTATTCTATATATATATTTTTTTAATTTAGGGTATTTATATCCAATTCTTGAAACATACATCGCATTTAGATTCTAACAACTAATTCTTATTTACATTTTTTTCAGGGATGATTTCGGCGTATACGCTGATGTTTGCTTCCAGGAGTTTGGAAAAGATGTTGATTATTGGATAACATTGAATGAACCATTTACTTATGCCTATTCAGCTCACGTGGATAAAGTCCATGCTCCCGGGTTGGGAACCGTGACCCAACAACTCTTTGCCACCGGCACCAACACCGAAGGCGGAGCACCGGCAGCAACTACCACCGAAGAATCTGCTGATTCCGGTGCTGCGGCGGAAGAAGAGGAAGAGGAAGAGGATGACGGAGGTTCCTTCTTCCATCCTTCCCGTTCCACGGTTCACCCGAAACAGACCCGAAACAAAGTGATGGTTTTCAAGCCAACCACATCTTGGGCATCCGAAGCTGAGTTCCTTGACCCGTTTGCATACCCATACATTGTCACCCACAACTTGCTCCTTGCTCACGCTAAGGCTGTGGAGATCTTCAAGAATAAATACCAGGACCCTGCTAAGAAGAAGAAGATTGGAATCACTTTGGTGTCTATGTGGTTTGAGCCCCGCAATCCTGATGATGAGAAGGACAAAGCCGCTGCCCTGCGAGCCCTTGATTTCTTCATTGGATGGTTAGCCTAATAATCATGTTAATCATGTTCTTTTGTGATGATGATCCCTCTAGCTAGAAGAAAAGATAAATACTTGAGGATTATTTATTAGTATGTTACATATAGCTAACCGTCGGTTTGCCTATTTAATCGTTTAGGTACCTGGACCCATTGGTTCATGGAGATTACCCCAAGAGCATGAGGGAATATGTGAACCCGGACCATCTCCCCAAAATGGATGCTGCAGACCGGGAAGCCATTCAAGGCAGCTATGATTTCATTGGTGTCAATTACTACACTGCCAGATATGTTGGTCACTCCGAACCCAAGGGAAAGCTCAAGAGGATTGGAAGGAATTACGTCACTGATCAGTGCCTCAAGTACTATGGTTAGTATATTTTTATTTACATTATGAATATTTGAATATGTTGCAGATGGATACTTTTCAGCAGTAATAATAATAATAATTTAGAGGCATTTCAGAGTTTGAATTATTTTTTAAGAAAATTGAGGTTCAAGGGGGAAAAAAAAAGTAGTACAGGTTTTGACAGTATGTTCATAACAATATGGGACCTATGCTATTGGCAGGGTCACGCAAGGAGAATGGAGTAGAGGTTCCCATCGGCAAAGATACGGTGAGCCATTGAGCTTACATTTTGTGTCTTGCTTTTTTTTTTTGTTTTTTTAATATACTTTGTATTTGTAAGTAGATCTCTTAAGGAACCTGCATTTTTGTATTCATTGCAGGGTGCTTCTGCATGGCTGATTTCATATCCTAAAGGAATTGAGGGACTTTTGCTTCACATCAAAAACAATTACAAGGATCCACTTATCTACATCACTGAAAATGGTAAATATGATTTGATCGTCGCATTAAAATCGATTAATGTTAGCCCTTATTTTTGAGGAACTTAAAACATAAACTTTGAAATATATTGGATTCCAGGAATTGATGATCATGATGATGATTCATCAAGGCATTGGGACTCATTCTTTGATGAGAAGAGGGTGAGGCACATTCATGATCACCTCAACTATCTCTTGGAAGCCAAACGGTATTGACATGCTCCAACTAATTATGGATACTTTGTAAACTTGTGGATTAAATTAACCAATTTTTGTGAATCAATGATTATCAATCAACATTCTTAAAATTTTCATGTTTTTGATCATTGCAGCAAAGGAGTGAATGTGAAGGGATACTTTGTGTGGTCATTGCTGGATAACTTCGAGTGGAACAATGGATTCCATGCTCGATTCGGGCTCATCTATGTTGACTACAAGAACAACTCACAGAGGCATCCCAAGCTCTCCGCTGCCTGGCTCAAGCAATTCCTTGCTGACAAGTGAAGAGACCATTTCCGATTTTGCTTTGGAAGCAACAAGGACCTCTGATTGATGAATTATTCACCTGGCAACTTTTGTTTACTCTTTGGAGTTTGGACCACCATCAAGAAAATAAGCTGTTTTTTTCCTTTTGGTTTTTTTTTTCCCTGTTTCGGAAGTGTGTGCAATAATGGGCGGTGCTTCGGGTTGAAGCTTGAAAGGGTAGTTGATCAGTGATGTGGAAAATGCTTCAACCCTCTTGTGTCCCTTTCCGTTTGGGTTTGTAATTATTTTCCGTAAAGTTGTGCACTCGGAATCGAATAAAATGAATGCCCGTTGGCCCTTCTTTAATTTACCTTCATTGCCTGATTTGTTTCCTTTATATTACTTGATTTTTATTTTTTATTTTTTGCGTTGAACTGGCCACAAACAACCAGCACCAGCCACCATGGCCAATAATAACTCAGGAAGTTAAAAGCGGACACCATACACACTTAGTACACCATTAATGCTTTCACAAATTGATTTCAATTAGGGCTGAGTTTCAGTAAAGTTTTACTCTACTAGTATAATTTTAGGTGTATGATATAGAGGAAAACTGAAAAAATAAATGAGAATGGAGGGAGCAGTTGATTGATTCATTACGATTTATGGGGGGCCATGACATTTTGATTTTGTTCCTTGTCGCCTCGGGGCAGAAATAGCAATCTACGGAGCTTTTGAGACAGACGGATATGGACATTTTCTTCATCCTTTTTTGGGGATTATGTAGGACAATAGGATGAATTCCCTACACGTGAAGAGACCTACGGAATTTGGGCCCAACAAGATGATATTAGTATGTGTGGGTAATGTTGGGGGTTTGGTCGATCAGTCGATGTCCTAATGGCCCAATCAATTTCGTAACATCAATCTCACAACCGAATATGTAATTCACATCAAACTCCAAACGTGAATGACGAATTGATGAAAGTCTTTTGTTTTTTCGGGCCAGGATAATATCACCTACCACTCCGTTGATCATCCTTCCTTACATGGGCAAATTATGTGTGCTTCTTTTTTACTTTTTTTTTGCACTTTTACAACAAATAGGAAAATCATGATTAGTTTTGAGTTAACCCCTCAAGGATTTTGTCAACTTAGTATCTAATGATTGTAATCAGAAATTCAATTAATAAAAAAACAAAAATACTCCCTCCGTCTCAAAAAATAGTCCACATCCAATTTTGAGATTTGTATTGTTTCAGTGCAAATTTTAAAATTAAATGTAGACTATTTTTCTAGAACGGAGAGAGTATACGCTAAATGCATGATGTGTTATGCATTTGCATAACCGGAGGGGTAATCGCGTTGGCATAGTTGCAAAGCAAGTAGTAATGACTGGAAGACCGAAAATCTTATAGGGAGTAGTTGTATTCCCTCAATCCCTTTGGAAACTAATCAGTTACAAACCTTTTAATGGACTACTAACTTCGTCCACTTAGATTTGAATGCCTTAAATATGCGCCCCTAAAGCATACACTAATTAAGAGAAGAATAATCCATTTTATCATTTTTTTAGTTTAGTGGGAAAAAAGGCATTTTCGCCAGACAGATTTGACATTTTTTTCATTTAACGGAGTATCAATTTAACACAGCGAAGCACAAGTTTTGATAACACGATAATAATTTGGAGTTTTGAACATCCAATGAGTCTGAATGGAGCGAAAAAGTGTCCAACATCTTTTGTACATACCTTCCCTCTTAAAAAAAAAATAAAAAATAAAAAATAGTCCTTTTCATCATTGAGGTAAGTAGTCAAAAAAATGAAAAAAAAAATGTACATGTAAATGTTGATCAAGTGCCTGTACACGAAAGCAAGTGATACAATTGTACACCTCCCTAATTCCATATATATAGCCATTACTGAAATTAGGGTAATAATTTTCACCTCATATTGAAAAATATTTTTCATCAAGTTTGGAAATCATGTCGTCATAGTATTGCTAGGACATTGAGTCGGATCCACATGTAAATTTAGGATCTTATCTGAGATCTATACGGCTCATAGGAAACTGCAGGATGCACATGTGAATTCTTTGTAGTGTGCATATGAAATAACGTTGGGGAGTGAGTAAAGACGTCAGACAAAAATAAAACTACAAAGAACACATGTGAAAAAAGCTTCCTTAGAATATAGTACAGAAAAAGACCACTGACTTTCTCAATCACACAAACACGTGCTTAATTGTTTAAAAACTATTTTTTGGAAAAAAGAATTTTTTTTTTTTTTTTTAAAAAAGAAATTATTACTTGTGATTGTTGGCTTGAATGACTCCATCAGGGGCATCAAGTGGGCGCTCCTCTTGATTGATTTTTAAGATACTTTAAGGTTTTGTTTATAGAGACAGGTTTGAATGACAGCTTTGCAAGATACATTAATTATGACCCATTATTTAATTATACTATTATTTCACAAACACTGATGTAGTACAATATTGGAATTGAATAATGGCGACGACGTGACAATTACTTATTGTCGTATTAATTTAAAACTAAAAGTCTAACCAGTAAGATTATTAAAAAATTCCAATTTTCGGAGCGAATATAGGCAGAAGCACCACTCATTCAACCATCGTCCTTTAATCGTTTTCTTTTCTTCTTATTGTACTATCACAAATCACAATCTCATCTGTGAATTTCTAGATGTTATTATTCCAATAATGATGATCATTTCAAAATTTCAACGATTATCAATAACTGAGGTTTCTTTTATCAATTTTTAGAATTTGTAAATACGTAGGTCATGTCACTCTTTAGTACAACAAGTATGATATTTACTTTCAGATGTAGTGAGTCTAATTTTTTTTCTCCTCATTTTTGTATCGTAAATTTATATGTACTCTGAACTCCTCTAAAGCGTTTAATTCACTGGTAAGAGAGGGTTCTTGTATGGTTTGTTTCAGATCTCGATGTTTTATCTTACATTTACTTATGTGAGAGTAATCATACCTAACCAGAAACTTACAATAAATTTAGTCTAAAATACTTGATTAATTGTTATATTTTTGTTAACCAAACGAAAATTTAGTTTTGAGACGATAAGAGTATTTATTCTAACGAATAGAAGAGAACATATAATTTTATAATTTTCTTTTCATATATTTCTAGAATAAGTGAAACAATCTTAGGATATTAGGATATCATAGAGTTGATCACCTCCTCTTGAAATCATTTTTGTTAGCTCAATACCTTTACAAGTTAAGGAAAAGACAATATTCTCCATATGACGCTAATCTTTGCCTTGATGGTAACATCAATTAATAATTGAGGTTTAATTTATTCCAGCAACAGTTGCTAGTACCACCATATAGATTAATTTTTGATCAAATATAACTCTCCAGACAAGAAGAAGTGGGGATGCTCACAATTAAAGTTACTTGACCTTAATTAATTTAGAATCAGCAGAAATGGTACAGAAGTATCCTGTATATACGTAATTTGAAATTAAGGTGACAAGCCGGAGTTAGTACATGATTCCCTTTCCTATCAAATTTTCAATCTTTAATTCTGCGTGAACTTCATTTGAAATTATAATTATAGAAGATTAATTACTTTGTATTTTATATTGTTTGGTTGAGAAGAAGATGAACTTTATAGTAAGCAAAAGTCAAGAGGACCGGAAGGAAAAGTGGTAAATTTTCAATTGAGCAGAGTAACCACGACGTAATCAAATATTTTACATAAAACTTGCTTCCTTTGTTCCAAACTGTGATAATATTGTTCTAGTATAACAAGTAAGATAAAAATTATTTTAAAACAAATAAAATATACAAAATTAAAAATTTGATATATCTTTTAGTGTAATTTTGTCGTGGCAGATAGTGAAAGAAAAGCAATCGTATATTTTACAATGTGGTGACATACACTAGCTGCACAATACAAAAAGTAAAACCACATCTCTACCTGCAACTTCCACTTTGAACGGCAATTAAACTCGGTTAGATACTTTCATCCATAATGGTTGATGACACTTTTATTTTAATACTACTAGTTCTCTATTTATATTATGACCATTGTTCATATTTTTCTTCTTCCATTGAAAAGTTTACTGTTCTCGAACTATGCTGTACTCCGATTTTCGAACAAGGGGGAAAAAACTTCAAGTAAATTCATTAAGTGTTTCCCATAACTAAAGATATATGGGAATTGGTTGAAGGAGGCTGCATTTACATGCCTCCCATATCCCCTTTAATTTCTTCCCCGCAGTTACCACCCATAAATTATGGGTAAACCCTGTAAAACTTTATCTTGAAATGCACAAAACATGTGCATCCCTAAATTTATTATTCTGAAATTGATGTACATACCTTTTTGCATTAAATATGGAGTACTACTCGGAGTAATTATTGGTCTCGGTTAGATGGCTAGCAGTTCTTGATGATTTTCAATTCCTGCTAAGATAATGCGAGTAGGTACTCTGCGGGATGTGACGGTGTATGAAATTTATATATTTGCATTCACTCGAGGTAAAAAAAAATTAAAATAAAAATAAAAAGTCATTGTATTGTTCGAGTTCTTTGAGGTGGAGGAATCGAATGAAAAACGGCAATATGTAGTACTATTATTTTTCAAGTCTAATACTCCCTCTATTTCAAACTGTAAGTCACTTTAGATTTTGCACGTATACTAAGGAGATAATCATCTAAAAATTAATTTATGTATTAAATATGTGTTTTAACCCTCATTAATTACATTAGAACTATAAACAAGACTAAATAAAAATATATTGGTATCATTTATTAAGGGTAAAATTAGAAAAATAGTCATTAATTTGTCTAGAATTTGTAAAACGATCTACATTTTGAAAAATCTCTCCAAACATAAAATGACCTACAAATTGAAATAGAGGGTCCAATAAAAGTCGTTTTAGCAAAATGGAAAATTTTCGAAATAAGTGTCGTTCTCACATTTCAATGCATTTTTTGTCCAAAATTTCCAAAATTACACTCAAAAGAATTAATACTATTGGTGAACTTTTTTTAATGGGGTTGGTTGAGAATATTCAAGTAATTTTATAACCATATTTAAGAGTTTCTTAAACTATATGCAAAATGTAGGATGACACTTATTTTGGAATGGAGGGAATACTAGATACTGAATATGGTATAAGTATGACGGTATGTTCTTAGCTACATGGTGTTAGAACATTGCTAGTCGTAGAGATGTATCAAATTCCTTTATATTCCATTGAACTTTTTTTTTTTTAAATAACCTATATAGGTACACAGCCATTTAATTAATTCAAATGAATAATGCACTAAAATAAAGGAGTATATTTGGATTGATTACTTATAGCTGCGTCAAAGATGTTAAAATAAATTCACCCCACTTTGTTTTTTTCTCCCTTTTTGTTTAATTGTAGTAGGGTTGTGCGATTAACTGCTCCCAATTAATATCATGGTCAGGGATGATTCTATACATCTTTGAAAATGTACGTACCCAAGTTGGAGTATAAAAAATTACATGCGGGACTGTGATTGCGTACCTACTCTAACACTGACATTAATTATGCCCAAAATGCTAGATTATCTAGGTTTTTTTAAACACAATACAGACAGGCTTCATGTCGTGGCTTGGGACAATGAAGCCTGTCAAACACAATACAGAATGTAGGAATAGGTCTGATTGACATTTAGATAGTAAGGCCTGTTGAATTATACAGAGTTTTTCATTATCTTAATTGAATAGCATAATTTTCTTTTTAATGATAGTAAGGCTTGTTGAATTATATATAGTGTTTGACGGATCAATGTTAATGAAAGCATTAAAAGAATTCAGGACAAAATATGCAAAATAAATTGCATTCATTATTTGTGTTTGTTGGAAAAGAAATAAAATCGGGTTAAGAAATCCTGCAACTTGAGAACGAGTTGTTTGAGGAATCGGATGAAAGCACAAACTGTGTGCGTGTTAGCGTACCAACTCCTTATTTTTTAAAAACGTCACAATATAGAATTAAGGCAGGCTTTTGTTCCTTAAATAATATTGTAAACGACAGAAGCTTTCGTTCATATGGTGGCTTAATTTGACAATGAGCTATAAGATTCTTCACTTAAATTTTGTTTGCCCTTATTTAATCAATCAGGTGTTTCTATCATCGATCTCAAAGCCCAACCCACCCGCAATAATTATGGCGAAAATTTGTAATTTTAAATAGAAATATTCACGTGGAGTTATGGATTGAATACGAAGATGAATTCCATTTCGCCTTACTCTTGCATGGCTATAAATAGGGTACAAACCCCAAGCTATCAAATCACCCTTCTCTCTTCATCACTTAATAATCTTGCATCCTTTTGTAAAAACCCTTCCTTCAAACCTATTTCTGTATTCTTAATTTACTTACCATGTCGATCTTTGCTGCTAACTTGTTGGCCGGAGGTCCGGCGGCCTTCATCCGCCGCTCCGATTTCGGCAAAGACTTTGTCTTTGGTTCCGCAACTGCTGCTTTCCAGGTCCGTTTTACAATACATTCTCTCTTTGTATAAATTATTGTTGTTACAGACTTAACTACTGGTTGAGTTTGCAATGCATTGCTGATCATTTCTATATAGGAGTCCATGGAGTTAATTCGTTGACTTCTTTCTTTGTTTCTGCTTTTGGTTCAGATTGAGGGTGGTCTTGATGACGGAGGCAGAGGAGATTCCATTTGGGATACCTTTGCTAAGGAAAATGGTACTCTCCTCTCTCTCTTTTTTCTACTTAGAAAGCCACAGACACTGTTAAATGATGTTCTAATTAATCCTTGAGATTTTCATGTTGAATTTCAATAGGGTCAACGGTTGTCTGATCCTTTGACCAATTAAACGGATCACATTTTTTATGGAATTTTTTATTGCAAACCTACAGATTTGTTTCATCCCTACGACGAAGATGCCGTCAATCACTATGAAAAATTCGAGGTACATTAATATTATTACCACGTCATTTTTTTTAACGTTAATGTGGACCAGAGCATCAAGTTAGTAAAAAAGTTCAAGCTCTTCATACTGCGTTGACTAACATGGCTCATTCGTACTTAAAAATTTCAGGAGGATGTGAAACTCATGAAGGAGATTGGATTTGATGCTTACCGATTCTCCATCTCCTGGCCCAGAATTCTGCCAAGTAAATACAATTATGCTCGTCGAATATTTTCTCTACTTCATTTTCAACAACAGTGAATAATATATTTTTTTTAATTACTTGACTATTTTCAGCTGGAAAGATTGAGTCGAAAAGCCAAGACGGAATTAACTATTATAAGAAACTGATTTGCAAGCTCAGAGAAAACGGTAAAACAAATTACTATTTCTTTTCGTTAGCAGTGACCAATGTTTTGTTTTTCTTGTACCCCGTCTAACAATAAAAATGATTACACACAGGAATTGAACCATACGTGACTCTTTTCCACTGGGATCTTCCTCTTACTTTGCAAGAGGAATACAATGGCTTCTTGGACCGCAGGGTTGCGTAAGTATCTCATTCTGTCACTGATAACTATAATTTTGTAATGAAAATCACTTACCGATTCTTATTAATATATATATATATATATATATATATATATTTTCAGGGAGGATTTCGGTGTGTACGCTGATGTTTGCTTCCAGGAGTTTGGTCAATACGTTGATCACTGGATCACGTTGAATGAACCATTCACCTATGCCTATTCTGCTCACGTGGACAAAGTCCACGCTCCGGGTCTCGGAACCGTCCATGACCACCTTTTCGCCACCGGAACAAACACTGAGGGATCGAAAGCGGCTACTGCGGTCGAAGAATCTGGTGATGATGCCGGTGCGGCCGAAGCCGAAGAAGAGGATGATGGAGGTTCATTCTTCCACCCTTCTCGTTCCACAGTTCACCCAAAACAAACCCGAAAGAGAGTCATGATTTTCAAGCCAACCGAATCTTGGGCATCGGAAGCCGAGTACATTGATGAGTTTGCTTATCCCTACATCGTCACCCACAACTTGCTCCTTGCTCATGCCAAGGCTGTAGAAATCTTCAAGAAGAAGTACCAGGACCCTGCCAAGAAGAAGAAGATTGGAATCACCTTGGTATCCATGTGGTTTGAGCCTCGCAACCCTGATGATGAGAAGGATAAAGCCGCTGCCCTGCGAGCCCTTGATTTCTTCATTGGATGGTAAGTATATTGATAATGTTAATAATGCTCTTTAATTTGTGATGATGATCCCTCCAAGTCGCTAGTTAGAAGAAAAGATAAAAACTTGAGGATTATTAGTATTTATTCATATAGCTAACTGTTTTCCTATTGACTAATAATTTAGGTACCTAGACCCATTGGTTCATGGAGATTACCCCAAGAGCATGAGGGAATATGTGAACCCAGACCATCTTCCTAAAATGGATGATGCTGATAGAAAAGCCATTCAAGGAAGCTATGACTTCATTGGTGTGAACTACTACACTGCCCGATATGTTGGTCACTCCGAACCAAAGGCAGCACTCAAAAAGGTCGGAAGGAATTATGTCACTGATCAGCACCTCAAGTACTATGGTTAGTCCAATTCATCATTAACTTATTTGCTTGTGTAGGTGCATATGTTTCTCTTCTCATAATTAAAAGACTAATTGATGGATGATATTGAAAGTATTTATAATATAATATTATTTTTTGTTTTTGTCAGAGTCGCGCATTGAGGACGGAGTAGATGTCCCTATTGGTAAAGATACGGTGAGTCATTGATTAATTAACTAAAAAATTTGCCGTCTCTTTAGTCAATAATAATTCTGAATTCTTGTAATTAAGTTGTACAGAGGAATTAATTAATTTTATTTTTTTTTTGGTGTTAAAATCCAGGGTGCTTCTGCATGGTTGATATCATATCCTAAAGGAATGAAGGGACTTTTGCTTCACGTCAAAAACAATTATAAGGATCCACTCATCTACATCACCGAAAATGGTATTGATGATCACGATGATGATTCATCCAGGCATTGGGACTCTTTCTTTGATGAGAAGAGAGTGAGGCACATCCATGATCACCTCAACTATCTCTTGGAAGCTAAACGGTAATTAATTCGATCAACTAATTAAAGATACTTATATAAATCTGGGGTAGTCCAACCATTTTTGATGAATCAATGATTGATGATCAAAACTACAATGTTATTTCTTTGGATTTCTTGCAGCCAAGGAGTGAATGTGAAGGGATACTTCGTATGGTCATTGCTGGATAACTTCGAGTGGAACAATGGTTTCCATGCTCGATTCGGGCTCATCTACGTTGACTACAAGAACAAGGGACAGAGGCACCCCAAGCTCTCTGCTGCCTGGTTGAAGCAATTCCTTGCAGACAAGTGCTAAATTAATTAATCCCTCCAAATTGCTTTTTTCTTCCAACAAGAAGGAAGACTGATCATCAGTTGATTACCGACATGAGCAGCCTTGTTTGTTTCTGATATTTTTGGTTTGTTTCCCCTTGTCCTTATATATTTGCTGTGTTTTCAATAACGGGTTCAAGTTTGTAATAATGGCCGGGCAATGCGTCGGTCGAAAGTATAGTGTTACAAAAGTGCATCTTCGTCCTTATTGTAATTTGTTCATCTGAAATCAAATTAATGAAGGTCCCTTTGCCCTTTTTCTTTATACCTTGGAAGTGTGAACGAATTCATGTATGGTACTTACTCCATAGTATATAATTAATTTAGCGGGATTCCAATAACACTGTTCTTACAACTCAATAAAACTCTCACTTCAAAAATGGAACTCAAGTTTCTGTATAAGAAAAATGATAAAATTTACAATGAATTTGGATGGTGATTGATGTGACAAATTTTTGAATGCAGAATTGTATCTTTTGAAGTTGGTAATTGTCACAAGGGGGATTTGGTGTTTAATTGTCTTTCACAATTCACCATAAATTTTTGTATATTCAGTTTACATTTTTATATATTCCTTCTAAAACAAAAAAAAAATCCAAAACAAGTCACTATCCGCACAATTTCAGATTTTTAGCTTTTCCTAGCTTAGTTATTTAAGTTATGTAATTTACCTTTTCCTAAGCAATAGCCAATCCAGGAAAAAAAATAATACTCCCTCGTCCCAAAAATTAGTCCACATTGAGTTTTAAATTTGTACTAAAAATAGTACAAAATTTAAAACTCAAAGTAGACTATTTTTTTTGGGGCGGAGGTAATTTAAGTTGTTCAAAGTATCCTAAGATCAGGGTATTTTTATACAAACAAATATAAAAATAAAAAGATAAAACCAAACTTGCTAAAAATTTCTCACTTATTGTGATGACCCATGAGAGCTTGCATGTCTTAATAAGGAAATCAAGCTTGACAACTATCTCATACTGGTGGAAAGTGAAGGGGGGAAGCAATTATAAGCGCTTCAAAGGGACAGTTCAGTAGTTAGATTCTACACTAAGTGTTAAGTTTTCAGGTTTGTTAACAAGATGAATTTGAAGGTCCGAATGAAAATGTGGCCGCGTGGAATCTCTCTCTATGGTAGTACGATCTCTTTCTCTATAAACTCCGGCCACATGTAATAATTTAGATGTTTGTAAAAATTTATAGTATTTTTTTTTTAAAAAAAACTAATTATAACATTTGTTGGTTTTACTAATAATATGAATTAACATTTGGACCTAGCGAGAATGAACATATAAATAGTTATCAGAACATGTATAGTATTTGGATGTTGCACTTATGCTTGTTAGTTTCATTACAACATTGTTATTTTGATTTTTTTTTATAAAAAAATATTATTGGATATCCTTGGAAGGGAGAGAGACATGTTTTGCAATTTTGCATTTAGTTAACCTATCTACTTTTACTCCTAGAAGTTTTGCTAATATTGCTACATATAACTTGTGATTGAAATTTAAAGATGTGAGTTTAACGAATATATACATTTATCAAATTTTTAACATGTAACTAGTAAAAGTTTAAAGAATAATAAAAAATTGCAAATGAGATATTATTATTATTATTATTATTATTATTATTATATGACTAGATATTTTACTAATTAATTAGAGCCGTGAATTGGATCCACATGTTAATTAATGATCTTATCCAAGATCTAATTATACGTATTGAATTGGATCTACATGTTATCGGAGATCTAGTGCACATACAACAACCGTGTCTAATGAGTAACAACATATGCGACTAAAAAAATATCAGCATGTGTGACAAAACACGTGAAAAAATTGACTATATAAACATACTATTCCTAGAAATCTTTATTACTCCTTCCTATCATTATTATAAGGTATTTTAATTTTTTTATAACTTTTATTTATCAAATTTTTTAATTACAAATGAAACCTTAAAAATATTTTATAATAATTTACAAAATCCAATTAAAGTGAAAATACATTTTTAAGCTTTTATTTTCAATCGGAAGAACATAATAAATAAAACTTTAAAAAATATAAATATCTTATAATAATGTCTGGAGGGAGTACCAGGCACATGTTAATACGAAGTGCATCCATGATGGTTGACACTTATAATAAAATTTATTTTATTATAATTTTATAGGCTTAATTTAATTATATTTTGAAGTTTATTAATTGATTTTATTATTGTTTTGTGTTAGGAAGTAAAATAGTAAAAGATGACTATTATGTACTCTTACGAGCTATTTTACGGAATTGGAGTTAAAAAGAAGCTAAAAAGATTTTATCAAGTCAAAGCTATTATTTACAAAATATTGATGGCTTGATTTCACTGCAAAAGATTTGGATAAATATTGAAGACTTTTACCAACTGAAGACTTTAACCACTAAATCTTTATTTAGATGGGTAAAAGAATCATGGAGCAACAACCTGCAGATTTGGGAATCAACATATATGCAGTTTAGATAGGATTTTGACTCCTATATCTTTGAGATTTCGGTTGGCAAAAGGACACTATAAATAGAGGCTTGTTAATTGATCAAAAGTGTCTCCCCGTAACTTGCATTTTTTGGCTACTACTACTTTCTCCATTTTTGCCACCATTTTTATTTAGCCTTTTGTTTTAATTTTTTTTTTTACACCTTTAAAGATGTTTCTAGTCACTATGAGTGGCTAGTTTTCTTCATTTGGTTCAAGGATTTTTATTCTTTTATATTATATGTGAGACTACAAGTTTCACTTTATTTTTTCTACTTTTAATTCAAGCACTTGTTGATTTTAATTTCTTTTTATGAGAGTAGATACTTGATTAATCTAACAATTTAATCAAATATTTTCTTCCTACTGCTACCAAATTGTTTATGTTGCGCTATCGTCTTAAACATTTGGCACTAAGTAGCACATTAGCAGATTATGCATGTTGGTAGTGGCACGTTGAATGTGCATAATAAGTCTAACTAGGAGATCAATAGGACAAAAACATTTTAATTGCAGCTATCTCAATTATTTTAGTTTTTGGTTCAACTAAATTTTCAAAATTTTTATTGCTAGTATAAGTTAACATGGAACACTATCGTGCCCAGTTAAATTATACTAAGTTTTGATTAGGTGCTGGATTTGGTCAAATATTTTTAGAAAATATAAGGCTTTTTACGGCTATCCTATTAAGCCTACGGTTGAATGCTTGAGTTGTAGAAAAATATATTTTTAGTCGATGATCTATAATATATTAGAATCATTCCTTGAACCAAAGTTTTTCTATTATTAATTTTCTCTCAATTTTTATTTACTTCAAATTGTCATTTTATTTTAAAGAAGAAAAATCCCCTCTGTTTGCATTTTTGTAAAGCCAAGTGTTAAAAGTCGGCTCTCTTGGGATTCGACCTGATTCCACTGTTTCTGCAAATTAATTTTGATCTGTTAGGAAATCAGATTAATTTTTGCGGGTCTCGACAAACCCGCCAATGATTTGCATTTTTTTAAAAATATAAATAAAATTAAATGGTTCCAACGAAAATCGAACCCTCAACCCACTTGGTAATAATCACCATCCACCCTAATCCTCTAAATTACCCTACCCAACCCTCCTATGCCCAATGGTTTGCATTATTTTGGGTATAATACAATAATTACATTAATATTTTACTTATTACACTTTCATATACATTTTCATGCTTTGGTTTATACTAGAAAAATATAATAAATAAATCACTATTGCATTGTCATAGACTAGATTTAATCAAAACTTAAATAGGTCAACCATAAAAATAACATATTGGCCTATAATATTTATTATTCTACAGTGGAAGACTTCTTACACCGTTACAAATTATTACCCTTTATGTACTGTTGGAGAACGTAATTAGATAGTAATTTACTTACTATTATTTACCACCACTAAAAATACTTTAACATGGAGCAAATTTATGCTCGAATGGAATATATATGTCTTATTAGATCTTTCAAAAGACGTTAATATAACACAAAAATTTTAAAAATATATTTTGTTCTATGGAAATGGTACTGCTCTTTTTTTGAGAAAATTAGTCAATGTTGTAATATGTGATTTTTTTTTTGTTTTTAGTACAGTTGGTACAATGCCCAAATTATATTTATAACGTAAAGAATTTATAGTACTTAATTAAAACAACATATAAGCTGTTGATGTGTCAGCACCACAATGAAAATTTTTTCGCCAAAAGTTATTTTCAGTACAAAATTATTTTTGACATGTGGCATTATAACTATTCAGAAAAAAAAGATGGAATAAATAAATCCCTTAATTATAGCTCCATACTAATTCCTTAATTGTTACTATATATTAATCCCTTATAACAAGAAACTTGAGTTGATAAAATCAAATGTAAAAAAATCTCCTCAAATCACGTGAAATATTACTGCGAGTAACACCTTCTTAATCTCCATAAATAAAAATGGTTAAATGAAAATTAGCTCCAGCATACAATTGGCTCAATCAAATATATATCAATCAAGTATTTTTGCTCAATATAATACAATGGGATCAACAAAAATGAAGGCGATCCCCTTAATATTTTTTCTCCAGTAGACAATTGGCTCAATCAAGAATACATCAATCCTTAAAATTTGACTTCAAACCTAGCAAGGGGAAAATCAAAAAAATTCCATCATGCTATCATGGGAGATCAATACCTGGGGAGCAAAAGATGATCAACCCTCCATTATGGCAATCAGAATATTGTATCCAAGGATTCTACCACCGAATGTTTATTTGTCAGTTTAAGAGATATTATCTCAATAGTATTGTAATTTGTTATTAGCCACCGGACATGACCCGCGGGTAAAAAATAAAAAATAAATTTATACAATTAGAATGGTATAAATTTTTTTTTATTACTTACGCATACAAAAATCCACGTTATCGTGATCTGTGTTAGAATATTATATTATATATATTATTACTCTAAAATATAC